ATAAACACTCCACTCAAAAACCCTTCTCAACAATAAATGCCCCAAGGACATTATTTGAATAAATGCCTGTGCAAAAAAATTACTTAACAAAGTGGTACAGGCGCACATTAAATCAAATATTAATTTGGTAGTAACTTGTGCAGATTGCACTTCAACTAAACTCATTGCACTACAACTAAACTATTTTAAACAAAAGATTATATATACGCAATTTCAACCATTTCTACAAATGATTTATGCAAATGAATTTTTAATTCTATAGGTGGCAATTATACTATTTGGTGAGCAACACAAATGTTCCATCAGAAAACAAAATTGATAGATATAATATATGCACAATAATGAACAAGGATACCCAGATCTATGGCCAAATATTCAAAACAAATTTGAATAACTTTACAAACTAAAAATGATAGATGAATCATCCAATCACAATACAGATTTGGCCATAAAGATTCAAAATGAACACAAATAATGATAAAGAAAGTTCTGAATAATTTAACAAACCAAAAGAAAAGATACTTATTAAAAATACTTGGACATTTAAAACTTATACTGGAATATGAATGTCAACTAAAAGACATACTATCATGGAGAAACAGTACCACCAAACAGAAGTAAGAGTGAGACAAGAAGTCTCCAGTACAATTATAGATGAACCAAGAAATTCCAATTTTAAAACATATAAATATATATAATATATACAAACATGGAGTACTTTTGCAACATGACTGAAACATACATCACAAACTACATTTAAAAGACAGGCAAGCGTACACACTTTTAAAACTATACAAAACTTGCTTTCGTTTGAGTACATTTTTTTAACGAACATAAAAACAAAGCAAAGCACATTATATGATGGCAGGATGATGTTTGTAGAAGAAAGACCATTATAACCAACTCCAAAATGTATATAAACCAAAACAACTTAGATAAAAAAGTACTAAGGACATGTATACATTCTTAAGTATTATAAATATTTATTTTTTATGAATGAACTTGTGAATGAAATCATGGCTTTGGTCTTTTGTTTGAGATATATAAATGTTTACATATATGTGGCAAAGATAAGTCAAATTAGTCACTCGTCGCAAAAATAAATTCTTAGTTATTAATACAGGGTTGAACAGTAAAATGAAAGATAAAATGGTAAAAGAATTATTTAAATCTGACACTTCCTTATGAAGTTACAGGAGTTTAAACATACAGCTGCCTAAAGAACAATATTCGAGAAATCAGCCTTCAAAGTTTATGATTTTGGGAATTTCTCATGCAGAAACCATCACCAACTCGTTAAAAATTGTTGTTTTAACATGGAAACTGGGGAAAATAACAGCATAGCATGATGTATAGATATATAAAGGTTACTGCAGTTTAGTGCAATAAAGTAGATTTAAAAAATGTTGACATTTCAGCATGTTTTGACCATTATTTCTGAAACAGGATTTCTGACAAGTGTTTGGTTTAGCTAGTCTTTGCCACATATGAATAGCTTTATGAAGGTGTAGATATTAGACAAGTTAATAATAATTATGCTGATGATTAGGGTAGTTATACTGTAGTGGTGATTTTGATATGCAAGGATATTTTTTTTAATCAAGTAATCACCAAAGTTCAATAGCGCAAAAATCCTAGTTTGCATATGCTCCTTTTCCTTAATATCAGAATTTCTGTTCCTGTGGGCAGCCTACAGACTACCTCTAGAGGTGACTTCCTTTTACCTATCTTAACTATGGTAACTTGTATTTGAACCCTCTAGTTAAAACACAAAAAAGCAATGCTTTATCAAGTTCGGTGTCTCCCCCTGTACAAGCATTTTGTCCCTCCCTACACTATATTCAATCTCATTCATTAAATAATCAGTTGATATATTATTATTGCAATGACAACCATGGACTATTCTCTGCTTCAAATTTCATAATATATCTCCTTAATTTGTGGCATAATCTTGTTACTACCATTACACAGGAAAGCTCCCATGTTCCTGTAGCAGCAAACTGCCTCACATGACCTAAATAAACATGGTTGTTAAGAATTAATTATCCATTGGCATACAATCTAGACTGCAGCTCTACATCATTTAACGCACATCTGTACCGTAGCATCACTTTGAATTGAAGCATTTTATACCAGTTCAGGTACTGATGTAGAGGTATTACTGTATTATTTTAAAATATGTTTTGTGATGTTAATTCTTTGATTGCTCTTATACTGACAACTGAAGTTATCAATATTATACAGCATGTCAATGCATAGAATGTATGTATACGTGTATACAACATAGTATACAGACAAAGCAATATATCAAAAAATGTTTCAAGTTATTAAGTGTAGATATTTCTTTGGTCATTCTGTAAATTGTGAATCATTGCAAAAATGAGGTGGAAACAAATAACATTAACAAAAAGACTAGCAAATTATCTATATAATGTCTAAATTATCTCTATTAATTCTTTTCAGTTAATAATAATAGCATATTCTAACCTCCTTCTGAAGTTCCACACTTAAGTCATAATTATTTTTTTTACCACTTTTTACAAATTCCTAATGACTGATTAAAAAAATATATATTTATAGCTTAAAATTATGTTTAATATCTTGCACTTAGAAATATAATAAAGGGTTAATATATTTCCAGTTGAAATTTTCCTAGTCAAGCTAATGCTGCATTATCTTGACGAGTGTCTTATTACCTGATAATTTCCCATTTTAGCATTTCTTTATGAAGCCCGCACTTAAAAATCACAATATACCCCCACACAATGAAAAATTTAATCTCAGGGAAAATTCTTTTTTAGCTATTCTTTAAAGATTACATAATTTGAAAGGAAAACGGAACAGTTATAGTTGAAAATCATGTTTAATACCCTGCGCTTACAAACACAAGAGAAGATCTAAGCCTACAACATTGACAAACGCATAACGCAAGGACAAACATATTTCCGCCTAAGGTTTGATATGGTCCATATTAATTACTCTGCGTCAGTACAACAGAAGCATTGTTGCTGATAATATCCCATCAAATTTGAGCTAAGCTGCAAGTGCAACAGCGAAGCTTAACGTGCTGATTGTTACACATAAATATCAACTTATGTCACTCGTGGATCTAAAACCGCGCAATAAATTTCTCAATTCTGCATATGTCCATCAGCATTTGGCAAATCACTTTTCCTTTGTCTCGATAGTTAATATACTGTTGATGATGGTCCAACAGATGTCGTTGTTCGGTTCAAGTGCTGTTAAATTTTGTTTTCTTCCATGAACTGAAGGATGCATTCGCAGTCATTGACTTTAAGAACAGCCGCATTCAATTGTGTGAATAATTATAGCATAACAGATTATCATTAATATTTTACTATGGTTTTGATGAACATTTACTTGCTAGTAAAATTTGATAATAATAAACAGAGAAAGGATTTTCAGACTGTCGTTGACTGTCAGCTACAAATATGCTGATACTAAATTTGAAAAAGGTTGCAGTAATAGTTCTTGTTAACAATGTAATCAGTGTAATATGTTAACAAAATATACTATGCCAACCAGTGTAGCAAGCATCCGGATAGAAGATCTATCATTTTATCGTGTTTTTGTTTTTTTGGTTTGTGTATGCATTTTATTATATTCCTCAAATAAAGACTGTCTGCTCAAAATTTCTCCCTTGGATTGACTAAGGGCAGCCACACCCCTTAATATGGCAGTCAATGTTTTATATGATTATTATGATTACACAAATTTTAGTATTATTAAAAGCATCTTGATTTGATTTTGAGAAATTTATGTTTAGAACTGATCAACTATTTAATTTTTTTTTTTTGTAAAGCAATTATATTGTTGTAAAATTACACATTTCTTATATTTACATGACTTACAGCGCATGAAACATGTATGTGAAGAGATTAATCATGACACAGTATGTAGTTGTCATGGTGTTAAGCAGGGGCGGAATATGCCAATAAATATTATTTGTAATTAATACTATTCCTGGGAGGTTCATACTTTCCTCTAGAGGGTATAGTCAATTTTGATTACACTAGCTTACAGTATACACACCCACTCACTCATTATCTATAATAACAGTACTCATGTATGATATAATAATGTGTCTGTGCATGGAAGTATGCTTTTGCATGGAGGTATAAACAATATTCATCTTATTATGTATACCTCCATGGACTGTGTATGTCTTCTAGTAGAAATATTTGCATATACCTCTACCAAAAAATAACTAAAATGCATACAGAAACACCTCAATCTAAATGTACTGGTGAAAAGGAATTCTTCAATCAAACTTGGTGCTTGGAACTACTGTAATAACCTAAAAAGTGCAACTACTGTATATGAAAACAATCATAACTATAAATGACAGAAGATGAGTGCTGTCTCTTATACACATCTAGATGTGTATAAGAGACAGTATATATATATCAATGTAATGATTTTTTTAGCAGTGACATCAGACACAAGGCCAAGTTCAAAATAATTGTTGATTGTCATTTCTTTCAAAATTGTGAGTAGCGAGAGGGTATTTTATTAAACCCCACAGTTCCTCAGGTAAAAAATGTGCAGGTACCCATTTTTGAGCATGCGTTGTAGTGATTACTGGTAAATGCTGTGCAGTCAGTGGTGGGGCCAAGGAAGGGTCAGGGTAAAATTCCTCCTTGTCAAACGAGAATAGGCCCAATGTTGTCCCCCTCGGGTCTTGAGCTTCACTGATAAACAATGGAATATCTAGGGGAGAGCTTGTGCGCCCAGTCGCCCCCCCCCCCACCTCTCCCAAAAAAAATCACGGTCAATTAGTTAAAAATCACCTAAAATCACCATATTTTGCGAATTAGCGCCCCTCAACTGATCATCGAGCCACTTCACCCACTTCACCTTCGCGCCCCTCAACGGCACCCCCATTTCAAGACTTCTAGATACGCCACTGCTGATAAATATATTAACTTGCTGATTCAAGCAATGTTCCTTATTGTGGTCTAGAAACACCAATTCTACCATAACTACACCATAGGACCACTCCCTTTTACACCTTTATCAAGAAACAATACCATAGGCCCTAAAAGGCTCCTTGGTTTGTACCTCCCTTTTGCACAAGAACCCCTATCAGCAAATTTCTTAATCCACAACTGTGCGCTATGTGCTTTCTATAAAGCTATCCAAATAGCTTATGCATGTACTGTAGATGATAGGGCTGTTAATGGGATTTATATACAACTTATTCCATTTATGATCAGAGTTGGGAGATTTTATAAAACTAAATTAATGGCAGGGCATCGCTACTGAGTGTGTAGGTAACAATCAACAAATATTTTTTACATGGTCTACACAGAGCTAAGATTTCAGTGGGAGAATAATCCTCTTCAAAATGTTTACAAATAATTTTGGGCAAATATTCAGGAAAAGAGATAAATTTGGCTGTTTGAGATAAGAAAAAAATATAGAGTAGAGATGTTTATTAAAGCAAAATTGCTTGATATTTTATAAATAGATTTTTTTTTTCTGACGGAAATAAAGGAAAAATATAATGAATGAAAACAAAAATATTAAATTATGAAATATAGCATTAAAACAAGTTCCCATTGAAATCAATTAACTCGGTGCAAAACAGAAGATACTACCTTAGTTTTCCCCAGCGAGTTCTAAAATGGCCCTCGCCTTCACTTCTTGTCCGTGACCTGAATGCAGTGCTTTTTAAGGTAACACAGAGACAATCAACAGAGAGCAAATTAACACTTAGGACAATTATTTTGAAATAATATCAAAATATATCAAAATTATCTTCTTTGGAAGAAGTTGCATTTTTGTGGCTTTACCATAATTTCTTACCTTTTTTCATATTTTTACCATTAGCAACATACTGTATTTTGAAGCATTTCCATTAATAATACTTTTATTATTTATATAAGAATAGGATAACTGACAATTTTTATTAAATTGTCATATAGCATGTTTACAAAATATCAGAATAAAATCAAAAAGTCAAAAAAAAAAAATTGAATTAACACTATTTATATCATACTCAAAAATTATTACACCACAAGTATATGTTGATAGTACACTTGTATACCAAAAGAAGTACAGTATTTGGAGGTACACCCCAGAAACCTCTACAATTGGAACTACTGATTGTATACCCAGCAGCTACCATGACGTTACTAGTACAAAATCTACAATCTTTAAAATCTAAGAAAGGAAATTATTTATTATATACTAGTGAAAACTTATAGAAGATAGATACTACATCAGTGTTCTTCATTTTAACTTCTGAAATAGTATTTTCCACTTTATATTACTGTTAATTTTCATTTTTAAATAGTTTATACATTTATTCATCCAAAAGCACTAGTTATGATGCAAAGCAACAATAGCAACAAAGCGAGAATTGAACCATGGAATGTGGTACTTGAGAAGGAGTGCACCCCATCCTTTAACCCATGTGGAAATATCCTGTAGTACAAAGGTGTGTCAAAATTAAGGTCTTGAATTTAGTATCCTTGTATGAACCCACACAGAATGCAACACTGTATTTCTAATGAGTTAAAAGCCTCATAAGAATTATGCACATAAAACTATCTCCAGTCAGCAACTGGGATAATTTTTCACAAGCAAATGGGTAACAAAGCAGCATTAAATACATACAGAGTAAAGCACAAAGATAACAGACAAACGACACCAATACTAAAGTATGACACATTAAATAGGTTTTAAGAAAAATTAACTGTCTTATTTACTAATTAACATGTTTGGTTGATCTACCAACTGCAGAGCTCTGTGGCCAAGCTATTACAGACCCAAAAAAAAAAAGATTAGAGGATAGTTACAGTACTCTCTATTTGATTTCTCCTTAAGGACACACATTTTCTCCTCTGAAGGTATTTCATAAAAGCAAATAATTGGTAAATCCCATAGAGTAATATTGAACTGGCATGAAGAAACATCTCCATCTATAACTTAAAGATAATAGTTTTTTCGAGAACAATGAACTGCCTTTTAACAGAGTAACTTGCCTTTTTTCTATAGGAAAGAAGCTTTTTTCAGGCTGTAGGATTAAGCTTTTTCATTTTTTTTTTCTTTTTTTGGGAGGGGGGGGGAGAGAGTGGTGGTGGAGAATTTATAATATAGTTTTAAGGGGAAGGTTCAGTTGTTAGTCTTCATAGAAAGGGTTAGTATCTTTTTCCCCTTCAGGTACCGTAGGTCTAAACAGGGAGATTTTTAAAGGGAAGAAGTAAGTCATTTTTAGGAGATGTTAGTCATTTTTATCATCACAAAAAGTTCCCTCATTATCCTTCCAAATGCTAGCAGATGCTCAAAAGGAAAATATTTAATTTAGATATTGTACAATTACAAGTCAGTGATGAATGCAAAGAATGAACATCACAATGCAAATACAACTGTTTCGGTAAATATCCAATAGGTTACAATCAAAAATACTTCTACGATGAAAGACATAAAATGATTTAGAATTTGGAAATGTAGTAAGAAGACGCCAATGTCATATGCAGATGTTTTTCTATTTTCAATTTGTTACAAGTCGTGTACAGATCTGCACGTAAATAACATCGAAAAGAAGAAAAAAACAGCCTCAAAGCAAATATGCTGGAATTCACGAGTGATACAAACGTGACAGGGCATATTGAGAAATAGTTGGACAGTATAGCACTGAAAATAGCTTTCTTGTGACATGACTTAATAGTCATCTATAATTGATAAAAGCAATATTAGAATTAACCAAGTGTATATGAGCAAGGTACAGAACATAAATGCCATTTATGTGAAGAAATCTTGCAATTTCAACTTGCAAACTCATTCTACACCACTGACTCGGAAAAATTACTTCCATTCAAATTATATAAGTTTTTTTTTAAGAAGATGAAGATGTGGTAATCGCTCAATTACTTTCAGTGTGTCTTGGAAGATTAGATCTTCTCTGAGAGGATTTGTTAATACAAAATTAGTATTAATGACATCTTACTTATTATTACTTCCAAAATGACTAGTAATTGTGTTTGCTTAATGCTAGTGGAGACATGTTTAACCATTGTTACTGAGTAAGAATCACTAATATATTTCAGTAAATCTCTATCACACAAATATAGATAAAATTGATGAAGAGTGTTTTAAGAATTTAATAAACACTGTGGAACATATCACTAAGGCATTAAGTGCAAAGAATTGACATATTTGATTCATGATATCTAAGTACAGGAGGTAAATGAGCAATGCGCACATTTCCAAAACTCATACATAAACCCAGAAGCAGAACAAAGCAACAAATTGATACAGGCTCATACACAAACTTCTAGTCTGCATTCAAGAATCGCCACATGGAACAAGAGAGGGAAATGGCCAATGCTGCATCAGTAACAGTGGAGCACATAATACAACTCCTTCACAACAATCTTAAAAGCAGTGCGAGGAATCATGTACTCAGTAAACCTTGACAGAAACTCACCTTGCTGGACTGTGCGGGACATGCTCATCCCGAACAGGTGCCTCTTCACGGTCGCTATTAATATGGGGTTGGGATAAATGTGCAGGCATGCTGTCGCATCGGTTTCTTCTAGAGGGGATTAAACCGGGTGTTGTCCTCCTATGAGGTTTATTGTCGTTTGAGTTGTTGCTATGGCTACGTGGTCGCATCTCTTCTAGCTGATTAATGGATTGCATGGCACTATAAATACAAAGAAAACAAATTTTGTTATAAAATTTATTGAAAAATGAAAATGTGCTTAATATCTTCTTCTACTGAATCTATATATCTACTGTTAACTTAGACTAACAAAAAAACACATTTTTAAATAGCAACTTGGTGGTATGCAAGGTTATATCTTACAGTAATGTCAGTTACACAATATTCTGGGTAAAAGAACATAAAACATATGGAATCCATCGAAGGGGACTGTATGGTTCAAAATTTTCCTCACATTATTGACATCCTCGAGGGAAAAATAGAATGTCTTACTTATTTTGTTGTAGACAGACAGAAACAAGAAACATGCAATACAAAAAAAATTGTGCATATCTTAGAAACATAATAACTTTAAATAATTATAAATATATTATATATTAAAGCATTTTAACATACACTGTAGAAATACTAGGCATGGTTTACAATTTTTATATTTAATATTGCTTTTAAGAAGGAAAACGATTTTTGGATATTGAGTACAACTGAGTTTTCTAAGACTTTGAAGTCTGTACCTTATCAGCCACTTCCATGTGTTTCTTCAAACACCTCTCATTTTATTGGAAAATTTATTTGTACAACACAGCAAAAATGTTTTTCCCTCCAGAACCTTGTTTTTTTTTGTTTTTGTTTTTTTTTAAATTATTATTTCTTCAATAATCAAACAATATGACACTCATAAAGCTTTTCTCTGGCCTAATGTTGTTTTTACTGTTACTATAATGTCAATTATGACTTAAAGTTATGTTCAGATGGTGAACAATAATTCAATATTAAAGCTGTTTCAACTTATATTGCCTGGAATAGAATTTCATTATATATTTTGTACTTATACAATTATTACTGTTTTAATTATCAACATAAAGGTTGGAGATGAAAGTTAATAGTGCAAAGGTCATATTCAGACGGTCAACACTACTTCAATATTAAGCTGTTCCAACTTATATTGCCTAGAATAGAAAGTATATTTTATTGTATATTTTGTACTTGGACAATTACCACTGTATTTCTCAACATAAAGGTTGGAGATGAAATGTAGATAGTACAAGGGTCATATTTAGATGGTCAACAATATTTCAATATTAAGCTGTTTCAACTTATATTGCCTGGAATAGAAAGTACATTTCATTGTATATTTCTTACTTTGACAATTATTGCTATTTTAATACTCAACATAAAAGTTTGGAGATGAAAAGTAGATAGTACACAGGAAATGAACAGATAAAATAAATGGTATTAGGCAGTCAAAGAAATCTTTGATCAACATATTGGTGAGTGGTGAATGTTGACATAGATGATGATAGTGGTGATAATAGGGTGATGAAGATGACGATACTATGATGATTTTGGTGACCTTCATGATGATGGAGGGGATGATGATAGTGAATTATGATGGTAACGTAGCTTATGATGATGAAGTCTGAAATTATTGCCCTTAATAAGTCATAAATCATAATAATGATAAGGAAGCAATGGTGGTTGTAACAACAAATTCAACATGTATTGAATTTCTTTCCCACCCCCCAAGCAAGTATAACACAATTCTAGAAAATTGAATGGATTATCTAGGCCTAGGAGACGTCTGTAACCCAGATTTGATCCTTTTCCAATCCACCTATTAGATGGAATGAGTTAATGATGCTGCTTAGGAAATGAAGGAGCCTGTAGGCTGGTTTCATAATTCTACAATGATGTCAGCTGCTGCAAGCAAAATGGCATCATGTTCAAAAACAGAAATTAGTATTTAACCAAAATTGATGGTGTCACTTACAACACAATGCATTGTGTTCCAAATGCATGAACAGAAAGAAGACTCAACTGATATAGGTGAAATGGCAATCGATAATTACATTAATTAACATGTCCCATTTGATTATCTATGTTGAAATCACTGCCAAAATTGTATAGTCGATAGCATGAAAACAACAACATATTATTTATGGCTATCATTACAAATGTTACCGTACTCAAAATTTAAAAAAATATTAACTTATATACATGTAATGAAAACATTAATATTACTATATATTATCATGATGATCTTATATCACAAACTTTAGTTTTCTTTTAGCTGATTATTATGTAGAGATCATAGCGCCCTCTACTGTTAGTAACTCAGAACTCCAACAGTTATTTACCTGGACTGAGGGAGATATTGGAAACCCTATCTTATTCTATTTTATCAAGGTTAAGTATTCACAAATATTCAAATATGTTAATCAATTTAACATTTATTATATTTAATGTTTATTACAGTATTAAATATCATTTTCAAACACATGGTGAAGATAAATACGATAAATAAAGACAAGAAAGTATAATACATACTCCAAGTATTGAAATACACGCCATCGTGTTGGGATTCAATATTTCAACATTAATTATGTCATCATGATGACATAATTAATGTAGAAATATTGAATCCCAACACGATGGCATGTATTTCAATACTTGGAGTATGTATTATACTTTCTTATCTGAGATTAATCAGTGGACCTTTCGGTTTTTGACAAATAAAGACAATCAATAGTAGTGTTAAATATTAAAGGGGTTAATAAATTGTAAATATGGTGTAATATTGCTTTCATATTCTCATTACTCAAATATAAAATGAAATGTTCTTTGATGATGCTATGCCTTATATATGTATCCTAGTTTCATAATTTGATCAAACATAACATAGAATATTGGCACAGACCTGAAACACGACACCAGAAAAATATAATAAAACAGATCTATCTTTAGAATCTAAGCAAGTTTTGAAATTGCAATGCAAAGAAAATCAGACTGTCTCCAGTACAGTTTTCATATCTATGACTAAACCATTTATTTAAAAACATGATTCTTACTATTTATATAATTAAGATGTAGGCCCTACTTAAAAATTATGTACTTCTGCATCGTTCTATCCCTGGTAAAAAAAAAGTAAATATTCTGACCTATCCATTTTGAAGATCATTCATGAACACTAACATCATATCCAAACTTTTAAAGACTCATTGATTGTTAAAATTTATGTATGACTACACACATCAATTTATAGGAAGTCACTTTCAATCTGATTGATTTCTTTTATTATTGCTACTTACATGTTTTTTGTTTTTTTTTTTATTTTGTTTGGTTTCTTTTTCCCCCACCCCCTTTTTTTATATTTATTTTTTTATCACTTAATATTATTTGATGCTACATTTTTACTGTATATTCTTATGAAAAGATTCTTATTTATTTAATACATATTTTTATTTTCTTATTTGAACTTGATTTTATTGCCTTTAGTAATAATTTTCATATTCTTTTAGTTATATTAATTTTATGTAGTAATGCTTGTATTTAATGTTTTTCTTTTATTCTATTCAGATTCTAATTCTAATTTAAAATGTTTTCTGTAATTTTTATTGTCCCAAATGATCAGCTTCTGCTGGATGATTAACCCTCATTAAATATGGTTCAAATAAAATAAATAAATAATTGTATCATTTAGAGTTTTTATATATTTGCACCTTATTTTCACACAATCAGATTTATGTCTGATCAAAATAAAAAAAATCTGGTCAGATTTTGTCAAATATTGTATTCTTGTTTCAGACATATTTACTCATACAAGTTGCACCATTCCATGGATGATAGAAGTTGGACAATGGTCTACTTCATCGATCCAAGTCTAATCAGTTGTCTGCCAAAGCACCAGACTGTCTGTCAGACAAAAATATGATACTGGGTGACGGCTTTATGTTTGATCAATCCATGGATACCTCCATGATCAATCTGTGTTTGAATTTCCTATCAAATTAAATCATGGTCAATGAATATAAGATTTCGAATATAAACATGAATTCATATGGAAGTGCTGTATTATTAGCTAGTAAGCATAGCTTCATGTTTTTTAGATAATTTATACTTCATCAAATATTACAGTACTTTTCATGTTGGTAGAATAGATCACATGTTCATTTTTTAACCTATACAACATGTGATATTTATTAGCTAAAGATGTGTTTTTCTATAGAACTTATGTTGTGGTTTAACGCTTACTAGCCTCTAACTCATTTAGTGATGGCAACACCCACTGTGGTGTGGCCAGCATCCCATAGAGACAGGCCAATCAAATATACACAAACAGTCACAGGTCATTGACCTTTGATGAACTTTTTAGATTCATTTATTTGAGAATGAATGAATAGAAACTTAATTATATTTAAATGATAAAAGAATAATAAAAATATTATAGGCTAATTGTATTTTAAGAGACCATTATTTAGAAGTGGGAATATTAATTGATAGAAAGGAAACAACAGTTCAGACGTGACATTTTTTTATTCCTTGTTTCGCATACTTACTCTTTTAGAGATTATCGGAGGAGGGCGGAATAAAGACAAAAATAAAATTGTTTTCTTATTTAGCAAATAGTTTTGCCAAAATCATCCAGACGGAGGAGAAAATAAAAATAAAATATTATAGGTAAATGTAAAATAGGAATGCTTTAAATTTATATAATTAGGAAGAAATATATCTTATCTTATCTGGAGATTTCAAGGCAGTTGAGGGCGTAATAAAAATTTTAAGAAACTTTTATTTTTTTCTGAATTTTCCACTTTCTCGTGGCAACAGGTGAGCTAATTGGCCAAAAATAAAATTAATTAATATTTAATTAATCAATATTTGCAGTCAGCAGGTTCACTAAACAAGGTATAAACAAAGTCTCGACTCTTGGGCGGTAATAAGGTTTAGTGTAAATGGATATTTGTTCACGAGAAAATTAGTGTTTATAGTTCCTTTTTAATCTTATTTATCAATTATTAACTCAAAAAGGATTACAACAGAATCATTAATCCGTCAGGGAATCTATGTGTTATCTGATACATACAGTACTGTCATTAAATTTAGAGCATAATGTTATTTTCACAACAGGTCATGGATTTGGCCATTGCCATCTATTCCTATGTAGGAATTATTAAGACCGGTTATGGATTTGGCAATGATCTTCCCATAATGCTTACTGATTGACAAGTCCATTGAACATCAAACTTGTTCTGGTCATCAAAAAAAGACAAAGCAAGCAGTGTCCGATGGCCGTATGGTGATGACTAATTAATCTAGTAATTAAATGACAATTAAACGAACAATTTATTGGTAGTATGATTGACAAACTGACAGATACAAACCTTGATATACCATGGTGCTATCAAGCCCAATGGATGCAGAAATAGGAACACACACACAGTAACAGGATACAAAAGCATACCTGTTTTAATACCTACTCAGATTCACATTTCATTTATTTGTTTTAAACATGTTATATTTTCATTGCGGATTTTTTGGGCTCAGTACGGACTCCAAAAGTATGCATTTTCTTTTAGTTTTAAGGCATATGCGGATTTTATAAGTCCGCAATGACGATACAACGTGTTTTTACATAGCTTCTTCTTTACAGATACAAAGCACTTTTTTTCCAGAGCAGGAACGGACAATCCCAGCAGGCACCCAAAAGGCGAGACTTTTTTACTAGTTGTTTTTTGGAAAATCGTCAGAGGAGGGCGGAAAAAAAATAAAAGTAAAATTTAGTTTTCTTATGTTTTCTTTTGCCAAAAACATCCAGATGGAGGAGAAAAGAAAAATATAATTTTATTGTTAATGTGAACAGTGTAGTAATAGGATGCTTAAATGCTTTAAATTCATACAATTAGGAAGAAATATACATACCTTACTTTTGGAGATTTTAAGGCAGCAACAGGTATAATAAAAATGAAGAAAAACTTTCATTTTTTTCTAAAATTTCCATTTTTTTTTTTGTGGCAGTGGGTGCGATAATTGGTCAAAAATAAAATTTTATTTTTATTCGCAATCATCGGGTGGTGGGTTTGAAAAACAAGGTATAAAAAAGTCTCGCCTAAATATACTTCTGTGTGAAGAGAAGCAATGCAAATAAAGTGCCTTGCTTAATGACATTACCAAAACGCATAGCGAAGGATAAAAAGCACAACTGCTCCGGTGCATCAAACCACTTTTCAAAGTGATACTTACTTCAATGTAGCTTCATGAATATTCTGAGCTATTACTGTGTCATCAACCTGCATCCACAGCTCTCCAGATCCAGTCGGTGCCTGACGACCAACTTCCATGAAGAAGAAACAGTCCGAGTGACCACATCGCCGAATTGTCGACAACTAAACAGATAAAAAGCAATAACAACAACTTATTAACAACTGTCATGGATTTAATTGCCTCATTCCCTGTGATAAAATTTATTGATATTAATGTAAACATATAGCAAAGGTTAACATTTTTTCAGGAACTGTAGCTTTAAAAAAATAAAAGCCATACTCCCCCTCCGTCTTACCAATTTATTATCTAGATTCCCAATCTCTGAATAGAGCTATAGTTTTTAAAAAAAGCAGAAAATTAGGATGAAATAGTCATACAGTACTTAAGAAAGTACTGCTTTGTAAGCTCGGAACTGAAATGTGAAATGAAAAAGGATGGAGGAAGAGGGTGAGAGGACTTGAGAAATGAAGCTGATTATCAATCTCCCGATCGCTTTCCTCCTTAAGATTCCTCCAACTAAAGACAATCCATCTTTTTCAGCATGTTAATAACCAGTCTGACATAACTGAAGCTAGTCATGAATGATAGATAAGATGCTTGTAATTCACTGCAAGAGATGATTAATGGCAGACTGAGCAATTCAACAAAAAAAAAATGGGAGAAATTTTTTTTTTTTTTTTAATTTTAATATCTCAGTGCTATACTGTATGTTACTGTTTATGTGATTTTTGATTTATGTTGTTGCCCCACAATCAGGTTTCTGGCCTGAGTAGAAACAGGTGCCTATTTGTAAGTATGGCACTGGGCCAACACACTTGCATACAGTGATCAAATGTTTCAATATCAGCACCACAGCCTTTGCCTCTTTGTTGACTCTCCCAAATTCATGTTCTATCTTTGTATCCAATTTTCTGCCAATAAAAAATGCACACATTATGGAGAAAAGTTGTACCATTTTTCTTTACCTTTAACCTTTAATATTTAGTAGAATGTCATTTTCGAAGATCACCTAATAAACATTAATCTGAATATTAATCACCACCAAGAGATGCTAATAAAATGTTACAAAGTATATTAATAATATATAAGTAAATATACATTCCTTTCAGTATACTTAATATATTGTATGTGAATTTATTATAAAACTTTATTTATTATATATAATTTATATAAACTGTATTTTGTATAAATTATACTTATATTGTGTGGAGAAACGGACTCTGGAGAAATAATAAAACAAACAAACAAAACAAAACAAAAATTATATTTCTGTTAAATTTGCTTTGGGTTATCTTTATGTAATTTTATTGTGTGAAATAGAAACTTATCTTAAAAATTTTACTGTCATTTTGCTTTGAATGTAAAAACTTACAGGGAATTCTAAGTCGCCATCTCCGTCGCTGAGCATCTTCACTAAATGAACAGTCTTCCTCGTCAGACAGAGTTGGTAGTTCCCACTACGATTTTGACTCGAACCAATGCCTTTCTTTGGGTTTAATCTTACCTGCCAAATATGCTCTGAAAGAAACAATAAATAAATATGATACTACTGTAAAAGTAGAAATTGTTATTGAAACATCTAGCTGTAAGAAACTGTAATAAAAAAATTTATAAATAAATTTGTTAATTGTATAAAATTGCAATGTATAAAATTATCATTATTTGCTAATAAGATAATAGGCCCTATACCTATCCCTATATATTACTAATAAATAATAATCTTATATATTACATTTAATTTCAAAATAACACCCATTACCATATATAATTTAACATAATCATTAATATATTTATTACATTATTATTGAAATTAATGAAATTTTAAGAGTAGTATAATCATAAATAATTTTACAATGTTCATATTAATATTTATAATTATATTATAAATATAATTATTCATATATTATACTCTTATATTATAGTCTTACCATATTTTTCTGAAATCAAAGTTTTTTATATTATCAAAGTGAAATAATAAAATAGAATCTTTCCTAGTAATAGATTGTCAGTCTTAAGTTGTTATTGTTTTTCCAAAGTTCGGCCAACAACTGATTCTATTATATTAACTGTAATAAATCAGGCGAGATGGATAATAAAATTATCACAATAGCTCTAGGCAGGAGCTGATGATATTCAAATTCCCACATCACTGCTTGCTTGTTTGTACTTTCAACTTTCTAGACACAACAGAAATGTTATTAATGGCTTGATTGAAAACATTCAAAAGGTGATATTAATTGAAGGGTAAATCTGTATGTAAGAGTGTAAGGTTGAACTTACTGAAATAATCTAATAGAAAACAGTTGTGCAGATGCCATCCTATATTTTAATTTTATGACATACTTCACATTGAATTTGTTGAATATATACAATAATAAGCCCATCATGAAAAATGATAATGGTGATGCATCAAACTGCATCACTACACTCATTAATGTTGTTTATAATCTATTTCAATCTTTCAGGTACAAATCTGGGCAATGAAGGCAACCGCCACTCCTTAGCTGCTGGCTTTTTCTCATTTTTCCTTGCATTTCATTTTACTGCTAATTATGTTTATCTTCAAGTGCTATTCCACTTCAAATGAGGTTATAATATACTGTGCTTTGCATTTGTATCAGTATTAATTTCATATTTTAAAAATTAAATGTTTGTTATATTTGAGTTTGGGTAGGACAAAGTATGCAGTATATCAATAATATATAGATGTTATATTATTATTATGTAGTTAGGTAAAACTGTTAAATTTTGCAATCTTTTTCGTACTGCGAAATTAGTGATATTTAAGTGAACGGGAACAAAAATGGCTTTACAAATACAGCGAGCCTCTCATCCTACGGTGTATTTAACCCTCTTTCTGCTCCTCTTTATTTTTATTGTTTAGGAAACAGCTGGATGCTGGTATGATGTACGGTGAAAACTATGGGGTCACGTTTTTCTACAATTTTTTGTTTGAAACACTAAGATTTTTTAATGGTGTACAGTATGACAGCTTTCATTTTATTGCAACTATCACTTTTTTTTATTTCTATCTTACTTCTTATCACATTTGACACTCAGAATACTACCGTACTATATACAATACATGGTAGAAAGTCCCATCATTACATCAGAGAAAATGCACAATAAACCTACAGAATGTTGAAGCCAAATTCTGTAAAACATGTGCTGTGTCAATGTTTGAAGTCATATGTGCTACAAAGAAACAATATATTTTGATGAACTAAAAATCCCTATCAAGTGTTTTTGACTCAAATTATATTAAACGCCTATATCTCATTATCCTTCAAGACATATTGAGGAAGACACGCCACAACATTCATTAAGAATATAAAAAAACCTCTTGAAGCACTTAGTCGTGCATCGTATTATCTGTTCTCTTTCTTCATGCTAATTAAAATGCTACAAAAACAAGTCGTATTGTCGTTCAAAATATTAAAATATAAATTATGTTCTTTGTTAATATATAATATAAATGTATTGCTGAAGTGCTGAATTATGGATGACCTACTTTTGGGAGCAAGGCAATGAAGCTATGTGTAATGTCTGTACCATGTAGAAATATTCTCATTAAATACTAATTTTTTTTAATGCTATAAATTTTCAATCATCAAGAATATTGACATTAATAATTACAACTCCTGCTTTAATGCATTTTTGTCAAAGAAAATTATTAATTTCAAAACTGAGTATGACATTTTCCGTCTACTAAAAAATAACTTTGGATTTAATAGAAAATGTTTTGAGATCAGATTACGAAGGACTGCATCAAACTGAAAAAACAAATTTGAAAATTCATATTTTTTATTTAAGAAAAAAAAATCCTAAAATTACCAATTATTGTACTTGTTCTAACATGTTTTAAAGTTACATTCAACAAAAGACAAAACATATTACTATTTGTTAAGCCTTAATTTATAGGCCTAATATACTATCACAACCTCCTTCAAAATTGTAAAACTTAAAATTTAAGTTACTTGAAAGTTTGTGGTAATCTGCCAGTCATAATATAATAAAAAAAATTAATACAGAATTTTTGAATAAAGACCCTTAAAGGCTGGTAATCAAATTAGGATTTTTTTATAGTAAAAGGTCTGTCCACAGAAACTAATTCATTCATGGTCTACCTACCAGTAGAAAGGTTTTATTTATTAATGAATATGTTACTTGAAAGAGCGAAAAGACGAAATAATTTATCAAAAAAAACCCCTGAAAAACCTTTAACAGATCTGATGACTGGCACAGACACATAGCAGACAATCTTTAGAAAAATGCACCTGAAACGAAGCTTCATTTTTCATTACATGTCTATTTTTTCATTCAATTGAGTTTTCTTAAAAACTAATGACAACTATTGATAATTACATGGATTGGATTAAAAATAGTGAGAATTCTTCAATCATGTTGATACAACCAAAGGACATTAATTTACAAGATCTTGCAGATTAATAGCCTGAGACAGAAAACTCTTGGACATGTTGTCAATGCTTACTCTTCTGATCCATTAGAAGCCGACAATTACCGCATTGCGACAAGTCATATAATAAATGCGTGCCAGTCTTGTCTTGATATTCAAGATTTTAGCGCATAAAGGACTGTAGAGAGCTTCCAAAATTTAAGATGTGGCCTTAAACATAGAAAACCTTCATCAAAATTGATGAAGTGCAAAAAACCTTAAATGAACACTTTAAACAAGACAGTGGTGTGTCACGGTTAATTCTAAAGCCGGATTTGTCCTTCCGGTACATGTTGAAAATGTAAACATTCTCCTTGAACAACAGGAAATTTACATTTTTACAGGCATCCATCACATACAGTACCATTAGGCCCTGTCCATACTATCAAACTATATTTGACAAACATGAGATATGCCTAAATATGGTCATGATGAAAGTGGTTGTGCCAGCAGGGGGGCATTTTCCCACCCGTCGAACAGGCCTCGACCCACCTGTCTTTGGACCCCTTGCCAGAAAATTTCTGTCGCCGCCGCTGGATGACATCACATCATAAACAATAAAGTCAAAGAAAATTTGATAGTGTGGACAAACCTTAAATGTTATAGAAAATATTTATTTATTTATTTATTTATTTTTCTTTCTTTAGACTACATGCACTTTCAGTACTTGAGTACTGTTTTTCAAAGTGGTACAGTTACAAACAAACCATGAAATAGGAAGAAGATAATACAAAAAAAAAAAAAAAAAAAGTCAAAAGAAGATTCAATGTAAAACTTAAAAATTAATAGAATGTTGGAATAAAAACTAAGGTCATTTCTTTAAAGTTAGTTTTTGTTTCGTTTGGAAGTTCATTCCAACTTTTTGATGCACGATATAAAAAAGTCCTTTTACCTTGGCAGATATTCCAAGGTGGTACAATTAAGTCATTATGCGTTTGGCTATGTGTGCATTTTGAATGTATATTGTGATTAAAATTAAATTTGGATGTTAGGTATGGAGGGGCATGCCTTAAGATTTAAAAGTCAAAAGAGTTAACTGTTCATTCCATCTTACATTGAGTTTTCTCCAATCAAGGGAACTTAAAATAAATCAATGGGTATTAGTATCAGAGTTTAATTTCAGCTATAAAATAACACTTACTATAGAAATTGAACTAAGGACTTTCAATTGGATAGACGGGTACCAAAGAAGCCAATGCCATTACTGCTTGTCAACTTTAGCCATATAAACCTATGGCTACCTTATAGTCGGCAAAACTAATAATAATTTCTATAAAAATGTTAATCCACACATCCAAACATGTTAGTGCCTCATTGTCCTGTTCATTAAAAAAAAAAACAACGTATTGATATGCAACCTCCTTCACTTAGATTTGAATGTGCCTTATAAACATTGTAAAATGAATATTGCACAGTGTGAATGTACTGGACTGACCTTTTAAAATACATAACAAGTAATAATCCTTAGCAAAATAAATTCTTATAAATATGGGTTTTTACATATTTTTTTAATTTTTTCTTTTACCTGAGGCAACGTTTACAATAACAGATCACTATTAAGTGCTGTACTAAAGTACTATAAAAGATTATCTTATGAAAAATAATGGAAATGAATTTTGAGATGTGGCTACTGTGTAAATTTTTTTTACATCTAAAATAGCTTCTGAAATTAAAAAAATATATATTATAATGTTTATTACGATGCTTTTTCAATAGCTTAAACTTTTAATAATATTATTAATTTAAAAATACATACATTAAATTCATGTTATTAATACTGTATATATTCTTAGAAGTGGCATGATCAATATCAACATATCATGTACTGTAATATATCATAACAAGTAATAAGTCAAACCTCAACCCAGTTAATATTGCTTTCAACATTATGCAGTCACACAAGTACTGTATTGTAGGCTTTACTGTACTGATAAGTATATTACAGTATACACAACACAAATGAATTAATACCAAAAAATCTTGTTAATGTCTTATATTGAATCAGCACATTATAAAATGTTTACTTTTAAACTTATGTGGTGGATGACGAGAGTTGCTGATACCAGGTTACTGGGTAGGACAAACACGAAGGGACCCTTAGGGGCGAAGAAAGTCATTGGTCGAGTTCCTAGTCCACATATCAAGCGCCCTGAGCATCTTATATTAGATGGATATGTGCGCTATATAAAACTACACTATTATTATTATTATTATTATTATTATTATTATTCATTCAGATGAAATACTGATATACCTTGACTAAGAAAAAGTTTAATATACACTCTATGTCAATATCATGCTAACTAATCAAGTAACTAAATTCTTGTTTGTGTTTATAGTACTGTACAATATTCTCTCTTCAACTTTGGTTCTTTTGGCTACCAGTATATCAACACCTTGTGTGGGGGCCAACATCATGAGACTTGTTGGGATTCAAATATCAGTACCTGTACAATAGGCCTACATCATAGGTTTCTTTACATCTTAGCTGAAATTTCAACACCTTACAATAATGCCTTGCATGTGTAGCTAGAGCTTGAAATTTTAGCCCCACACGTGTACAGTAGGCCTTTAGAAAATCCTAAGGTAGAGACTGAAATTTCAGCCCCTTTTGGAAAGTACATTGTACATGTAATACAGTATGCATCAACTATTGAATAACAACATACACTAATAATGACTTACAAACAATTAACGCTTCCGCAGTGCAAGATCAGGACATTGATCTTCTAATGAACACCTACTGCTTGATAAAAATTCACCTGGTGGATAATTTACCTGTGTGACATCAGAATCTGTATTGAAAAGCCCCCCCAGCTGTTGGAAGATTCAACCTATATGCTTGATTGATTAAATGATACTCTCTCATCAATCTGAATCATCATTCATCCTATATTCATCCAGGAAATTTGTTTCGGGCATATGCTGCAGAATACAGGTTTGTGGGTACAGAAATCACACACTTAAGCATTTAAATATCACCTCATTTCTCCAAACAGTGTCCCCTCACTTTTCCTTCCCAGCCAGAGACATGTCAATTGTCATTTAACTAGATATTAACTGATGATACCAAAAGAAAGTAAACCCTTGCCGAGCAACTAGGGCTCTTAGGGCTGGAGCTTATCTCCAGTTTCTACAGCACGAAGCGGATGAGAATGTAATACTCCTCCTGGGTGGGACGCTGCTCCACCGCAGGTTACTCCATGCAAGCGCTGGTACCCATTGATACAGCTGGGTCGACTGACGCAATGTGACTTGCTATTGGACACAAGTGCAGTGCACAGCGATGGATTGAAATCCCGACCTCAAGGTTGGAAAACCAAACAATTCCCACTGCGCCAAACCGCTTCCATACAAATGAAAAAGGAGAGAGAAAGAGAGGGGGAAAAGTAGAAGACACTAGATGGGAAATTAAATGCAAGTAATTCAGATACCCAAACATAAAATCAATGGCTTAATAATACTCTGCATTATGCTTTCCTGTCTAGTGTTTTAATAAATAGTACAAAAACATCCTGAGTTTCAGAAGTTTTCTTTTTTAGCTAATTTCACATGTAGTTAAATTTGTATTTATTTTACATAATTAACATTGTGAGCACTACACTTTTTAAAATGCCTAAATTGAGAGCTTGGCAAGATCAAGTAAGATCAAATTATGGATGCTCGTAAACAGCATTCTCAATCGGTTGCTAGAGCACACAACAGAATTTTGAAAAGCATGGCTTGACAAATGATAGAGCGCTCAATATTATTTATCAATCTTCATGAACTGCCTTAAGACTTCTTTTATGCTTTGCAGTGTGGAAATGTGACCTTGAAACCCCATTCTGAGACACTGACACTCATCTATCATAATTATAATTTCCTTTTCAGTAGTGCTGTTGAAAAACATCTATTGTTCAATACACATGAAGTACAAATCTACTGTACTGTATCATAATACTAATTACAATCTATAGAAATTGGAATTATATTTCCTTTGGCATATTACTTCTCAGGCCATACTAATAAACTAAGTACTTATCATGTAGACTACGTACTGTACTATAAGGCTATGAATCGTGTTACTGGATACGTAACTAAGCGCATCATGAACTATTTAGGAGTAGACCTATTGCAAGCTAAATACATTTAGCCAGTTGGCACATGTACCAAGTCAGACATGCCAACCTTAAAAGGCCAACAAGAGGAGTCTGAAAACATTTTGAACAGAGTTTTGGCAATGTGAGAGGAATATTTTAAATTGCCATCGGAAAAAAAAAATCCTAAGACATGGTACCAATGTGATCGGATTGTAAAATGTAACCATTTTGACTCACAGTGACAGTTTACATCAGCAATACCGCTGTGCGAGATTAGAAAGCTGTTTTAGCTTCTTTCTTTAATTTAAGGAAGCCCAACACTACTACTCATTTTTTGAGCAGAGCTTAGGTCTACATCCATATCGCTCTCATCGGACTCTATTTTGGAACTTGTGGTTTACTAGACTGTTGTTGTTACAAAATCAGTAGACCATGGAGCGCTATAGAGTTCAGAGTACAGTGTAACTCTGAGAGCAATTTGGCCAATGAAATTTGGTTTTCGATATTAGTAGACCGCGGAGCATGAATTACTTTTTCAAATACTGTTCAAAGTGCAACTCTGACAGCGATTTGGCCAATGAAATTTGGGTTTTTTTTGGAAATTACTAGACCGTGGAGCGTGATTAACTATTTCATATACAGTTCAGAGCGCTGTTCAGGACAAAATTAACTGGTCTTGTTCTTATCTAAATCGTAGGATTTTAATTTTATTATTCTGATTTATTTCTGCCAGCCGAAATGAGTAAAAAGCAGATATTTTCGACCCAAAATCGGAGTGCAGAGTTTTGCTTAAATAAACGGAGTAACTCCGCCGAAATCGGATTGGTTGGCATGTCTGCCAAGTTGGCTATTCATAGATACCCTGGTTACCAATTTGTTTTGCATTATATTTCATTATAATACACTTTTGCCATTGGCAGTGAATTTTTCATCCAATTACTATAGGCCCACCTCCCACCTCCCCCTCACCCCTTCTCTCTCTCTTTCTTTAAAAACACAAATTTGGAGAAAGTTTAGTGTAGGCATTAACAAAATTTAAAGTGAACTTTGACTGGATATTTAAGTGAGTAGCAGTACCTTCACCTAAAAATGTTCTGCCCACCTGAAAATTGTGTGTGTTCTATGTAAATTATAATTAATTTTTGTGTTCTATGTAAATTGTAATTTATCCATCATTTATCAGATCTGTTCTAATAATAAGAATGATAAATTGATACCTACCAAACGCTGGAACGCTTTTGTTATTTTCTCGATTAGGTTGTTGCATTATCAGAGCCTCAAGCCATTCTTCTTGCATTTGCTCGTTTTCCAGAACCATACAAAAGCAGTCATTTCGAGTGTACAGCGCTATCACATACTTATGTTTTGTATCATTTTTCTTGTTGATGTTAAAGCAACAGTTTAATTGTATTGCTCGTTTTGAGGTAGCTCCGTTCAGGAATTTCTTTTCCGAGTCGTAATATTCTAAGGTTGGTATCCCTGTTGGACTACACCGTAGCACAAAAAATTTTCTTTTCATAGTCTGAAGAAATATAAAATATCAAATAATCTTGTCAATTACAATTGAAAATTTAAGAGGAAGACAACTGTTCTAAAAAAAATGCATCATCTATATTTATCACAATTGGAGATGTTTCTTTGAAGCATATAGGTCATTAGGTTAATGTCAATGTTTAGATTGTCATCAGATGGTAGATAAAGAGATGAGACAAAGATATCTGGTACATTCATTTCATATACTATACCCATTTTTTTTGCAATAAGCTAATCTGACCTTTCAATTGTGAAAACAATTTAAGTAGTTACTATTCGAAAACCAATAAAAAGTATCACTACAAACATTGAATTACTAGTACAGTAGCTCCCAAAGGAAATATAAAAGTATAACTTCCTGTGAACATTAACAAAGTCAAAAAAGTGTTTTGTTTCAATTTTCTTTTGATAACAGTTCAGTTTACAGCTATTATTCTATCACTTTCTATTTTAAATTTTCTTGGTTATTTTTTATCTGAAAAAGAAAAAACCTTGAACATTCAATGAAAAAAATATGCCTCTTTAAAAAGATACCTGGTTAACAACAGATATTCCCAAACCCCAGAAAATACGTTCAAAAGTAGGACATATCTATTTAGAAGGTTAATACCATACCACATAAACATTATTAAAATAAGCAATTCTACCTCAGATCTAACCATTTAATTTTGATGTTAGGCCTTGCTCTTGCAGCAAGGGTTTTAAACTTCCAACCCAAAGATGGAGAGTTTGAGTCACAATTGTGCTAAATTCAGGGCTACCGAAAGCAGCCCCAGGGCTCTGGGAATGTGGAGCAGTGTCCAGAGGTGACTGAGGGCGATTTGTATGGACTTGTTTGAATCCAAACCAACAGGGTATATTTAAGACAAAATGGACCTATAGATGATTACTGTATTACGATATAACTAACCCCGGTATTCTTCAAACGAACTTTAGTCGTAGTCCGAGCTAAAACTTCAAAATTATGTCATTTTGTATTCTTAAAACCAACTTCGACTAGCACTACGACTTAATCATGCGAACCTTGACAAAAATGATACCTCCGTAGGCAGATTTTTTTAGTCAGCCTAGGGTCAAGCTAAATCGCCGACATGAAATATTTACCCCACTGAAAATGTGGTTTTTGTAACTCACGAAAAAGTAAAACGAATAAAAACGATTGTATATGTAGGTCTGATATATCTTCGGTGTGTGAAACAAAAGAGACATCAAGTTTTAGCTTCCAAAAGACGAAATTAACATGTTATGCTAGCCATATGCGATAGTTCCTGATTTGCATAAAATCATCTCACGTTGCAGCCACGTAGCTGCACCATAACAACAACAAAGATGGCACCGCCCTCGCTGGGGCTCAACTATAATAGTTCTCCAAATAAAGCAAATTTCCAGTGGTTGTTCAAATTCTCTATCGTTGTATATTAACGACCAATATAGTTATTATAGAAAATTAATTAAGCGAATGATTATCTATTATGAATTATGAGGAAATATGTTTTTGAATGGCAGACGGCAATTTAATATTCATCTGCGTTACCGGATCTCTAAAATTTGTCTGCTATTAGAAGATGAGCTCTTTTCATTGGTTAGTTTGATAGTCGTTGCTTGCAAGCTATCTTTAGCTGAACTAAAATTAGAACTTGATTTAATCGTAGTTTAAAACTTCAACTACAGGGTTTATGAATACAAATTTAATTTTAAGTTGCAACTAGGACTAAATGAAGTTCTAGTTCGAAGTTCGACTAAAGTTCGTTTTAAGAATATGGGTGTAAAACCGAAGCCGCTGTTATACTTTGACCAGGTTCTTTTTGACATGTGATAATGATGATCTGATGATCTGAAAACACACTTGGTAGCAGCAGCTAAACAGCTTGTTGCTGCTGGTAAGCACTTGGCCCCCATGACCTAAGCCAGGATGTTCAATGATACCTTGTATCTACTGTCTATACACTAAGTCCACTTCTCTCCAGTGATCTATGGATGACATAACCTTGAGTAAACAAGGTTAAGGTGACTGTGTCACTGCAGACTATAGGGCGTACCTACAAATCTGTATAAACTTTGAAAAAAATAACCTCACAAAATTTTGAATATCAAATGAATTGTAAAATACTTTTTGCTTATATGAGACTTACAAAAACTCTTAGAAACATAGTTTTGAAAAATCCACCACACACGAGAGCTACAGCAATGTCATATGGATGCATGATGCCGTAAGCAATTAGCTCTAGTGTGAGTGTGCCAGACTTAACATTTTCAGGCCTAGCATACAGTCCTGCCTGTTATTGAAATGGGATACATTCAAGTAGGCCTACAGTGTACAATTTTCAAGACAATTTTACCAAGGGTCAAAAGCCTCCCACAAGTAGCAGGAGTCTCAGTCCTGCCAACTATCCCGCACTTAGCGCGAAAGTCAAACAGAAAAATGTTTTTCCACAGTCCCAACGCATTCTTCACTGTAGAAGCTCTTGTATACAACAAGGAGAATATACTCTGTACAAAATAAATATCTAAATAAAGAAATGAATTGCCAGACATTAATTTTGTATTCATTCATGTCTCCCACATCTACAGTGATATCTTTTTATGGCCACCTAGGTTTTTTTTTTTGGTTTTTTTTTTTTTTTTTTTGACACAACCCTGTAGTGTGGACTTCCGTATACTGTAAGTGTCCAGCATTATTTTTTCAGAACCTTGACAGGTCTGGGGTCTCCCTGAAATCGGTATGGCGTTCAGCAAGCAAGTAAAAATCTCCCAGAAACTAACCTATCTACCGCAAATTTATGATATTTGCATGCTTTTTGCTATTGTATTATCAATACTCTCCCAGATGTCAAATGGTGATGGTATCACCATGTGCAGGAATATTATAAGATGTGTTAAGATAGCTTATTTAAGGAGACCTTCCAGAAGTGGCTTCATCCAACTTGGTACTTCTGACATTACATACCTTAATGTCAGTTAACATATTTTTGGATGCGCATCAAAAAGGATACCGCTAATACCTCTTTTGAAAAATCCCAGACGGAAAAAAACCAAGAATTTTGTTACTTGGAAAATAATATTATAGAAGTAGAAAGAAATAAGCTAGGCAACCAAGGCCAGATCAGACCAAGGGAATACATTCCATCAACAATAGTGTTAAGGTAAGATATTAAAGGTGCTATTATACAAGTGTTCAACATAATTTTTTTCACTATAGTTAACATCAAAATAGTAACACTATATAGTTCCATATTCACAACAGCAACAAAATGAAATAACATTTAATTTTATATATAATTGATTCACATTTTCCAAGGTTTAGAACATTCCATATCAGTATTAAACATTATTTGGCATTGTTCAAAGTTAATTATAAATAATATTTTTCTGAACTTCTTATAGAATGGCATAAAACTACTGTACTACAAATTATTATTTTTTAAATATTATTTTTGGTGGAAGTTTATATGCAATTAAATAATAGGCCTAAATATAAAGACAAGCTTTTTATTCATTTTTTTTTTTTTTTTTTGAGTGGAGGGGGGCTTTTTTGCATAGTTCTTAATCTGTAGGAAAATAATGATTTTGATAGTACATTTACAACTATCCAAACTGACACAATGTTCCTTTAAGTTGGTTTAATTGGTGATTCAGCATTTACTGTGATCCAATAATCAATAAATGCTTTCCAAGTCTACAGTAGAAGAGTAAACAATAATAATTTTGTGACTTTTGAACTGTTCAGTGTTAGCAGCAACGCGGTTAAGATCAGAGTAGCAAAATATTAAGCTGGTCCCTTTGTCTTCTTCTGTGCATCTTAATGGCCATTTCTAAACTAATGATTTAAAAACAAACCCATCATTTTACCATTGAAATCCATCTTAGTGAAGAGCTTAGCAGTAAAACCCATTTCAGATGAATCTCTAAGTCAAACCTGGTGAGGAGCAAGTCCTAGATCAAGGCCAGTGTTAGCATACTAAGAATTGCTTCTCTTCTACACTAAATTGCAGACTTCAAAAGGAGCATAAAAATTACATGAGGTCATTAAAAGGTCGCAACCTCAGTTTAATAACAAGCTATTAGTTTCTTAATTTTCTTTTTGCCATTCATTTTTTCCCCTATATCCAAAATTACATTTAGGTCTAATAGACAACTGCAACAGGCCCATCTTCAACAAAATCTGGGGTTGTGTGCATGCTTCTGTAGCCCAGCTTCTGTTTTTATAAAAATAAATTAATATTAAAATAGGCTTACATTTTCAGGTCATTATTTTGTAATTACTTTAGAAAAGTTACTAATTGACAATTCTTTTATAATAATATCAATATTATTACTATATTAATGTTATCAATATAGATTATCATTAGTCCACAAATCCAAAGATGAATTTTTAAATACACAAACACATAATTGCTCTTGTAACAAAACAAAAACAAAACAAAAAAAAAAACAATCCTTGGAAATATACTCGCAAAAGTATCATTAGAACATGAAATACAGTAAATTATGATAGTGTTGAAAGTGCAAGTTTTTTTTTACATAATTCTATTGGCGTTAACACTAATTACTCTACAGACTTTCAGCACAATTTGACGTAAACAGGTCAATATTCTGACAGGTATCGTAACATAATCAATATCTAGAAATAGATAAATGAACAGGTTTTTTGTAATATTTCTAGATTTGCTTATGAATATCAGATGTCACAGCTGAACCAATTGAATGACAGCAGGACAAAGGTCAGGGTCAGTGTGTTATTCTTTTAATTCTCCCAAATTTAGAACAACAGTTGTTAATACATGGTTCACAGGCCATTCTGGTATTAGGTACATATACAGTGTAGATACTACGGTATGTACTGCTGCTATTTTTGGACTATACATCATACATGCTGCTAAAGTAGTGTCTTTTGCATACAGTTCTTCTAGATTAATTACTCCATGTTTTATTTTGATATTTCAAAAATAGTTTGATATTAAATGCCATATAATCAATTATCAATTGAAA